TTCACTTAAAACCGGCATCCCGCTTCTTCTATTCATAACATCCACAATCATCTCTTTTTATCATCTGCCAACATCCACGCACATTCAGACTTCCCACTTTTACAATTTTCTTTTTTATTTTTTTTAGTAAACTTTACAGGAAAAGGGGTTACTAGCCCATTGTTCCCGGCATTTTGTTGACTTTTACAACACGCAAAGGGTTCGGAGGGAAAATTTTTTCCCTTCCCATGGGTTAAAAAAGGAAAAAATTTAAAAAGACAAAACTATTAAAATAAAAACAAGAAAACTCGATGAGTGGTATAAATAAATGTGTAATGTTGTGTAGTGGAAACCCAAGTGTAATAGAAGTAGCAAAACATGCCTGTAATCTTGCATATTTTGAAACAGACAAAAAAACATCAGCAAACCTACCTCATGTAAAACAATCACAGGGTTCGTTTTACATACTTGGCAGGCGGTAGTACCTCCCGGGGGGGTGCTGTTACCAAACCCACTACTATTAGTTTAAATTTAAAAGTTTTTAAAAATTATCATTAATTTAGGGGGAGGGGCGCAGATCACTGTATTTGCACTTTGTCTGGATTTTTGGGTTATCCTAGGTAATTTATAAATGTTGATAACTGCTTATGTGGCCAGTAGAGAGAGAAGAGAGAGAGGGGGGGAAGAGAGAGGGGAGAGAGGGGGAGAGAGAGGGATAAGGAGATACAGGAGGGAGGAGAGAGATACAGAGAGAGAAGAAGCCCCATTCGGGCAGCCAGTCAGCCCAACACCCACCCCCCGGCCGCCCGCCCGCCGCCGGTACACTTTTCACAGTTTCAGAGTTTTTTTTCTTTATTGGGTATAGGTTAAAACATTCTGGAGGTCCACGTGTATTCTTCCATTCCATGTGTTGAAAAATACAAAAGATAACATAACATATATCACTTGCGATTAAAATTTACAATACAGACACTACCATTTTTCATTTTAATACAGTACATAAATAATTTAAAAATAACAAAAAAAGTAAAATTTTGGTTTTTAAAAAGAATGAAAAAATGTTTTACATTACATTAAATATTTGTAGGTAGTTTTTTAAGGAAAGGTACCCTAAACCAAAGAAAGGGGTTCCGGGGGCCATTGCGGACAGAGTCCGAAATTGGGAAGTACAAGGGCCCGCTTTGAAGGAAGGGGGGGATATTACATTTTGGAGGAGCATCTGAGCTGTAGTATTGCGCACTTTGACAAGACAGTGATGGGGTGAGTGTAAAAAGAGTTTCTTTTTTTTCGGGGCACCCTACCTCAGTGAGAGACAGCCATTGCACTAAAAAATACAGTAGAACCTTGACTTACGAGTTTCTTGAGATACTAGCTGTCGCTTGGTCGATTTTTTGCTCTGAGTTACAAGCCAACATCCGAGTTATGAGCCAGATCCCCCCCCCCTGCTTCCCCCTCAACCAAAAACCTGCACACCTCGCTTGTTTATCTATGATTTCATTCTTTAAGTCCATGGAAATCATCCTCATTTTCTTCGCAGCACTGTCCTTTACACTTATTTTCTTAGGACCCATGCTTAGAAAAATGAAATTTGGCCAAATGACTGTAAAAAATTTAAGAAATACTCCCACACCGAGGTAAACAGTGCATTGAGTTGGTGGCGTTCTGAAGCTCTCATTCATGCTAGCCAATACTGTAAATACCGAATTACAGAAAATATCTACCTGGATGAGGACTAACAAATTTACTCTAAACATTGACAAAACCTACTTCATTCAGTTTGGTAACAGAGCTACAGATGTCCCTCTTAACATAATGATAAATGGATCACTTATCACAAATCTCAGAGGGAAAATTCTTAGGAATCTGCCTTGATAATAGACTCAAATTTCAAACACATATACAACAAATTTCCAAGAAAATTTCCAAGACCGTAGGCATACTATCGAAGATATGGTACTATGTTCCACAGTCAGCCCTCCTGGCCCTATATCACTCACTTATTTACCCCTGTCTCACCTATGGAATTTGTGCATGGGGCTCAACAACAATAAACCATCTCAGACCATTAACTACCCAACAAAAGGCTGCAGTCAGAATGATAACAAATTTCCACTACAGGCAGCACACTCCACCAATATTCCAAACTTTAAACCTGCTCACCATACCAAACATCCATACTTACTACTGCACCTATTACATACATAGAACACTTAACTCAGATATAAACCCTCCCCTCAAACGTCTCCTTACCAACCTCAACAGAACACATGACCATAACACAAGGCACAGATCACTCTTTGGTGTTCCTCGTGTCCATCTCACGCTATGCAAAAACTCAATGCACATAAAAGGCCCTAAAATCTGGAATTCATTACCTGTAAATATAAAAGAAACACTGTTTATAAATTCAAGTCTCTTCTCAAAAATCACTTACCCACAACCAAATAAATACTGAATAATTGTATCTTATAAACTGTATATCTTAAATGTTTCTCATAATTGTATCACATAAATGTTTAACCTGAGATCCAATCAAACTTTGTTATTTTTTAATTACATTACCTAACATTACCTAACCTGAATACACAGCAACACAGAAAATGACCATATGACCTGTCTTTGTAATACTCATTTGTGCTTAATTGTTATCTGTTTACAATAATGTTTTACCACTGAATACATCATTGCTTAGTTAATCTTAAGTTAATTTTAAGCCTGCCCATAATGCTCTGCATACAAGGGGCTTTGGCATGCTGCACTTAACTGTTTTCTTTTGTACTTCTCTGTATCATGTTCAAATTAATAAATAAATTATCATTATTATTACATTATTATTATTATTATCATTATTATTACATTATTATTATCATTATTATTATATTATTATTATTATTATTATTATTATTATTATTATTATTATTATATTGTAATAATAATAATATTAATTAAGAGTAAGACAGAGAATAGGATAGCAGGTGAACAAGGAGGCTTTAGGAAAGGTAGGGGGTGTGTGGACCAGGTGTTTACAGTGAAACATATAAGTGAACAGTATTTAGATAAGGCTAAAGAGGTCTTCGTGGCATTTATGGATTTGGAAAAGGCGTATGACAGGGTGGATAGGGGGGCAATGTGGCAGATGTTGCAAGTGTATGGGTAGGAGGTAGGTTACTGAAAGCAGTGAGAGTTTTTACGAGGATAGTGAGGCTCAAGTTAGAGTATGTAGGAAAGAGGGAATTATTTCCCAGTAAAAGTAGGCCTTAGACAAGGATGTGTGATGTCACCGTGGTTGTTTAATATATTTATAGATGGGGTTGTAAGAGAAGTAAATGCGAGGGTCTGGCAGTGGCGTGGAGTTAAAAGATAAAGAATCACACACAAAGTGGGAGTTGTCACAGCTGCTCTTTGCTGATGACACTGTGGTCTTGGGAGATTCTGAAGAGAAGTTGCAGAGATTGGTGGATGAATTTGGTAGGGTGTGCAAAAGAAGAAAATTAAAGGTGAATACAGGAAAGAGTAAGGTTATGAGGATAAACAAAAGATTAGGTGATGAAAGATTGAATATCAGATTGGAGGGAGAGAGTATGGAGGAGGTAAATGTATTCAGATATTTGGGAGTGGACGTGTCAGCGGATGGGTCTATGAAAGATGATGTGAATCATAGAATTGATGAGGGGAAAAGAGTGAGTGGTGCACTTAGGAGTCTGTGGAGACAAAGAACTTTGTCCTTGGAGGCAAAGAGGGGAATGTATGAGAGTATAGTTTTACCAACGCTCTTATATGGGTGTGAAGCATGGGTGATGAATGTTGCAGCGAGGAGAAGGCTGGAGGCAGTGGAGATGTCATGTCTGAGGGCAATGTGTGGTGTGAATATAATGCAGAGATTCGTAGTTTGGAAGTTAGGAGGAGGTGCGGGATTACCAAAACTGTTGTCCAGAGGGCTGAGGAAGGGTTGTTGAGGTGGTTCGGACATGTAGAGAGAATGGAGCGAAACAGAATGACTTCAAGAGTGTATCAGTCTGTAGTGGAAGGAAGGCGGGGTAGGGGTCGGCCTAGGAAAGGTTGGAGGGAGGGGGTAAAGGAGGTTTTGTGTGCGAGGGGCTTGGACTTCCAGCAGGCATGCGTGAGCGTGTTTGATAGGAGTGAATGGAGACAAATGGTTTTTAATACTTGACGTGCTGTTGGAGTGTGAGCAAAGTAACATTTATGAAGGAATTCAGGGAAACCGGCAGGCCGGACTTGAGTCCTGGAGATGGGAAGTACAGTGCCTGCACTCTGAAGGAGGGGTGTTAATGTTGCAGTTTAAAAACTGTAGTGTAAAGCACCCTTCTGGCAAGACAGTGATGGAGTGAATGATGGTGAAAGTTTTTCTTTTTCGGGCCACCCTGCCTTGGTGGGAATCGGCCGGTGTGATAATAAAAAAAAAAAATAAAAATAAATATTCCTGCTACACTGTATTGTATAACAATATAGTAGGTAGTACTGTACAGAGAATATTTTCAAGCACAGTACCACTGTCAAACCCTTCTCAGGGAAGGTTTCTTTTCATTGATGAGGGGGTTCTTAATAAATTCAAGGAATTGGACCTGACATACCCTGCCTTGAATTCAACCTGTTTACCTCCCATTTTCTTTATTATTCACCCCATACCCATCCTGTGGGTGCCTGATGATAATACAAGTGCATAAAGGAAACCCATTAAATGTTATACACTGGATTACTGCTCTTGTTTTTGTTTCTTAAAATTGTGTGATGAAATTATTTTTACAGTTTTTAACTTATATTCATTGTTATCATTACTCTTTTTTTAGTGGCTCTTATTCCTTCAGTATTTCTTTTCCAATATAGGAGACTGGTCTATGACCTGGCTTTAGGGGCAAGTATTCCTGGAACCATTATTAGGTGCAAAATATGATGATAAATTTGGGATGGAATGTAAAGAAAGAAAATATGTTATGGATGTTATCATGTAAGCATGATAATATTCATGTAAACTTTAAAATCAAAATTAACTTTCCCACAAGGTTTGGCCGTGAAGATTTGCTGGCTACAATATTATCAAGAATGGATGGAGGTGGGACAGGAGTAAAACGTGTTCCATCATACGTAGCACCAGATCTAGCAACTGATATTCGTCGCCATATGTCTGCTTCTATTCGACAAAGAAAAGGACCTCTTCCATGTCACTTTCTTTCTGAATCTGTCACGTTCTCCCTTCCAGCAGGTTAGTTTCCATAGTTAAAATTCTTAAATAAGAAATGCATAGGTTAAGGGTTCAGCATAGATCAAAATGTTACCTTAAGTTTTACTCTTGAGCTGTTAATTGTTTCAGTCTTGTTATTGTAACTTATTCATCATTAGATGCTGTATAACAGCTACAAATTCAACCCTTTTCCATATTTTTTTATCATAATGTTATAATTACTATTATAATGATTGTTATAACCTTCATTCATAATTAACCCTTTCAGGGCTGGTGCTGTACTAGTACGTCTTACGCGCCAGGGTTGGTGTTATGCTAGTACGCATAAATTCTAGCGTCTTCAAATCAAGTGGGAAAAGACTGGTAGGCCTAGATGTGAAGGAATGGGTCTGCGTGGTCAGTGTGTGCAGTATAAAAAAAATCCTACAGCACACAATGCATAATGAGAAAAAAATTATCTCTGACTGTGTTTTTGGTTTAAAACAGCGACTTTGCAGTCTATTGTCATATGGTATTTATGGTTGTATTCTCGTTTTCTTGGTCTCATTTGATAGTATGGAAGATATATTGCAGAATTAGAGATAATTTTGATTGGTTTCACGATGACAAGTACCTTGAAATTGAGCCCAAAGTAGCAAAAATGTTCGATTTTTGCCGATGTTCAAGAGTAAACAAATCACTTCAACAGGTGAGTCTAATATTCTTGCACAAGTGAGCTGATATTATTTATACAGTTTTTACATTGATGCAGTAGTATACATAACAGTAAATCTTCTATTTTTGAATGAATAAAAATTCAAAATGGAAAGCAAGCATAATATAAGAGGGGCCTGAGATGTGACTGATGAACAGAGAAAATGTTATTTTATTGCTAGGAATGTCTGCATTGTTTTATCTGGCCCCTATTTTGAAATTAGCCTTACTTGAATTGTGTATGAAATTGGCCAAATTGCCAATTTCTGATCAGTTTACTGGGTAGTTAAAACCAGTAAATGGCTAGTTTCTTGTACTCAGTCGATAGAACAAATGGAGTTCTAGTGAAATAGCTATGAGTTTGGTCGACTGGAACAATGGAATTGGCCGAAAATAGGGCTCAAAGTGGGCAAAATCGGCAATGTGTCAATATCGCCGAGACCGCTGACTTTGTGAGAGCACGATTCCGTAAGTTTTCTATCAAATTTCGTACTTTTGGTGCCATTACATAAGAAATTTTTTTTTTTCTTTTTTGAAATTGCTGACCTAGAAAATGTACAGAGAACCTTCACGGCACGCATAACAGAGATAAAACACCTCAATTACTGGGAGCGCTTGAGGTTCCTGAACCTAAACAGGCGGGAGAGATACATGATTATATACACCTGGAAAATCCTAGAGGGACTAGTACCGAACTTGCACACGAAAATCACTCACTACAAAAGCAAAAGACTTGGCAGACGATGCAACATCCCCCCAATGAAAAGCAGGGGTGTCACTAGCACGTTAAGAGACCATACAATAAGTGTCAGGGGCCCGAGACTGTTCAACTGCCTCCCAGCATACATAAGGGGGATTACCAATAGACCCCTGGCAGTCTTCAAGTTGGCACTGGACAAGCACCTAAAGTCGGTACCTGACCAGCCGGGCTGTGGCTCGTACGTTGGTTTGTGTGCAACCAGCAGTAACAGCCTGGTTGATCAGGCTCTGATCCACCAGGAGGCCTGGTCACAGACCGGGCCGCGGGGGCGTTGACCCCCGGAACTCTCTCCAGGTTGAGAGCACGTTTGTGAGCAAGGGTCTCGACAGTGAAAGGGTTAAACATTTGTCCAATTTGAGTTGTGTTTTATTGAGCCAACCCCATTACTCAGTTCGACCAAATTTTTAGCTATCTCTCTAGTATGCCTTCCATTCTATCAATTGAGTACAGGAGGGCCCCACTTATATAGCAGGTTAGATTCTGTGCTACCACTGTTAAACAAAAATTGCTATGAAGTGGAACATTGCTTTTTTTTTTACTTTCAAGCGCATATAAAAGCCTGACAACATGTTTACACTATCAAGTATTAACCCTTTCGGTGTCGGTCCTGTTGAACTATGGCCAAGGTCGGTCCCGTAGTTCTACACTATGAGCTAAGCTCATTCTGATAAGCTGTGAGAGGTAAATTTGGGTCTAGAGATTAGAGAATGGATCTGTGTGGTAAGTGTGCACCATACAAAAAAGTCCTGCAGCAAGTGGTGCATAATCAGGGGAAAAACTGTGACCGTATTTTTGGTTTAAAGCGGTTATTTTGTTGTTTATTTTTGTATGGTTTTATGATTGTATTCTCTGTTTCTTGCTCTCACTTGATATAATGGAAGATATATTACAGAAATAGAGATGATTTTGATTGGTTTCAGGATTGCAAGTAGCTTGAAATTGAGCTCAAAGTAGTGAAAAATGTTTGATTTTAGCTGATATTCCAGAGTACAGAAATGATGTGACTTGTCCAATATGCATCCAACTGGCCAATCCAATACACATTTAGGAATGCACTGACATTATTTATACAATTATTACAATAATGCAGTAGTTTGCATATCAATAAATCATTTGTTTTTTGTGTGAATAAAAATTCAGAATGGAGAGCAAGTGTAATATAAGAGGTCTGGGGGCATAACCAGTGAACAAAGGAAATGTTTTTTAGTGTCAGGGAATGTTTACATTGTTTATTCCGGACCCCGTTTTTAAATTGTCAGTTTTTGAATTTTGTGTGAAATTGGCCAAATTACTGATTTCTGATCACTTTATTGAGTAGTTGCAATAGGTAAATGAGTGGTTTCTTGTACTCAGTCGATAGAATAGAAGGAATACTAGTGAAATACAGTGGACCCCGCATAACGATCACCTCCGAATGCGACCAATTATGTAAGTGTATTTAAGTAAGTGCGTTTGTACGTGTATGTTTGGGGGTCTGAAATGGACTAATCTACTTCACAATATTTCTTATGGGAACAAATTCGGTCAGTACTGGCACCTGAACATACTTCTGGAGTGAAAAAATATCGTTAACCGGGGGTCCACTGTAGCTATGAATTTGGTCAACTGGAATAATGGAATTAGCCGAAAATAGGTCTCAAAGTGGGTGAAAACGCTGATGTGTAAATATTGCTGAAGCCACTAACTTTATGAGAATGTAATTCGTCAAGTTTTTCATCAAATTTTGTAATTTTGGATTCATTATCTTCAGAAAAAGATTATCATATCATGAGAAATTTTTTTTTTTCATTCTTTGACACTGAAAGCAAGTTTGAGATCAGTGTTCTTGATCCTGAAAGGGTTAAGTGAGCAATAGAGCTAGGCCTAAAAAATGCATATGCGTTATATACATTACTTAAAAATATTTTCATCCTTAGCTTATAGTGAGTTGTGAATATATTGTAAGAAGTCTGAATAAATGAAGAATGGGTATACAGTGGACCCTTGGTTTTTGTGTAGAGTCCGTTCCAGAGCCATCGGCCAAAACTAAAACCATTTTTCCCATGAGAAATAACGTAAATGGAATTAATCCGCTCCAGACACCCAGAAGTATCGACAAAATTTTTTTTTTTTTTACCTTAAAGATAGAGTTACATGCACAAAAGAATGAACATTACACATGACATTTACCTTTATTAAAGTCTGTTGTTGCTGGAAGGAAGACAGGGAGGAGGGGAGAGGGAAGAGAGGTTATTCTTTGGAAGGGGAATCCCCCTCTATAAGGACTGTAGGTACCAAGTCCTTATCTGGGGTCATTTCCCTTCTTTGTTTTTTAATGACACTAGGACCAGCTTGAGAGTCACTGGACCCCTGTCACACAAAATATCTGTCCAGATAGGTCTGTTTCTGGTGTCTCTTCAAAATTTCCCTAAAATGGGACAGGGCATTGTCATTGTAAAAGTTGCCAGCACGGATTACAACAGCTTTCTCAGGGTGATGTTGCTCCACAAATGACTGCACCCTAGTCCACATTGCCCAAATCTCCTTAATCTCTGAAGAAGGCACCTGTTTCCATCTCTCTTCCTCCTCCTCTGTATCAATTTCCTGTGCTGTGGTCTGTTGCTGTTGCAGATGAAGCTCTTTCAGCTCATCAGTGGTTAGCTCTTGATTGTGGTCATCCACCAACTCTTCCACATCCAGGCCACTCACATCCAACCCCATGGAATTCTCCAATGCCACAGTTGATTGCACAACAGGTGTAGGGTCGACAGGGTCAGTCTCAAACCCTTCAAAATCCTTCTTTCAGACACAATCTGGCCACAGTTTTTCCCAAGCAGAGTTCATTGTACTGGAAGTCACTCCCTGCCAAGCCTTATCTATAAGGCCTATGCACTGGAAGATAGTGTGTTCCTCACCTTCTTTACCAAAGCACTGACACTAGGAGCTTTCTTTGGGGCCATGGTCGCTTATTTAACAGTCACACACAATAAACAAGTAGCAAAAACAGTGGATTATTACGAAATGTTTCATATGACCTGGCAGAATATGTGGAACCTCGGTCTTCGTGATTAATTCATTCCAGAAAATCTGACAGAAACCGAACTGTATGAAAACTGAAACAATATTTCCCATAAGAAATAATGTAAATCCAATTAATCCGTTCCAGACACCCAAAAATATTAACAAAAAATACATTTTAGAGAGAATAACTATAGTTTTACATATAGAAAATACTGAGAAATAAATATAAATGACTATTGAAATGCATAAATGAACATTTAACATCACTTTTACATTTATTGAAGACTCATGTTGGTGTATGGAAGAAGATGAGGAGGGGAGAGGGTGGAAGAGAGGTTTTTGTCTGGAAGGGGAATCCCCCTCCATAATGACTTCAGGTATCAAGGCCCTGTCCGGGGTTACTTCCCTTTGTCTTCTACTGGCACTAGGACCAGCTTGAGAGTCACTGGACCCCTGTCACACACAAAATCTGTCCAGAGAGGTCTTTTTCTGGTGTCTCTTTAAGATTTGCCAAAAATGGGAAAAGGCGTTGTCATTAAACGTGTTGCAAACACGGCTTGCAACAACTTTGTTAGGGGTGATATTTCTCCACAAAACTTTGCAACTCATTCCACTTTGCTTACTCAACGAGAAACAAAGCCAGACTGAGTCAGAACGCATGGGATGCTTTGTGTGGGTGCAGGCAGGCAGACGCATTTGGTACAGCGAACCATAGCCAACTCTGCGAAAACCAAGAGGATGTACGAAAACTGGGACAAAATTTCGGCGAAAAAACTAGTCAGAAAAACAAATCCTATGAAAGCCAGAGCATACAAAAACCGAGGTTCCACTGCATGTCTTCCATTCTAACAATTCATATCAATAAACAGTCAAAAATACCATAAAAGCCATCCTACTAGGAAATGCCTCAAAGTTATTTTAAACCAAACACAAGGTTAGAGGTTTGCTTTTCCCACCGTGCACCATGTGAGGCAGGATTATTTTTATACCATAGATGTTTGCTGCACCTGCACAGATCCATTTTCTCATGTTGAGACCAAAATGTACCTCTCATAGCATATTTGAGGGTACCTAGAGCGGTAAAGTGTATAAATTACTGGGAACACCTCAAAGTTCTAAATAGATACTTGCAGGAGTGGAAGAGAGAGAGATAAATGATAAATTATCATATAAGGGGGAAGTACTTGAGGGCCTGGTCCCAAATTTGCACATGGCCATAACCTGCTTCCTTCCCTACCCTGCAGCACTGTATAGCCCTTGTGGCTTAGCGCTTCTTTTTGATTATAATAATAATAATAATACACCTACCATCCACCCTAACCATGGAACAGGCAAGGATTGAACCTATGGTAAGTGAGTTCTAAAACTCCAGGCCAGTGCGTAAGCCATGAGTTCATTCCCCACCTGTTCTGTGGTTTGTTTGCCGTCCATCCACCCACTGATACCTTGCTCCTATTGATATCTTTCTCCATTATTTGTACACAGGCTATGTGATATAATGATGCTAGTCATATCTTGCTAAATAGGGATTATCAGTCATTTATTTTCACATTTTAGCATTATCAATGTGTTGCACTGATGTGTTCTTATGCTTAACCTCTGAACTAGTAATACAAGCCTTTTAGAAGTACAGTGGACCCCCGCCTTAGGATATTAATCTGTTCTGGAGAGCTCATCATATGCCGAAATTATCGTAAGGGGAATTAATTTTCCCAATAAGAAATAATGGAAATCAAATTAATCCGTGCAAGACACCCAAAAGTATGAAATAAAATTGTTTTTACCACATGAAATACAGTGGACCCTCGACTAACGCTATTAATCCGTTCCTGAGAGCTCATCATTAGTCAAAATAATCGTTAGTCAAGTTAATTTTCCCCATAAGAAATAATGGAAATCAAATTAATCCGTGCAAGACACCCAAAAGTAGTGAAAAAAAAATTTTTTAACACATGAAATATTAATTTTAATACACACAAACTGAAGAAGACATGCACAGTTACATGACACTTACCTTTATTGAAGATCTGGTGATGATTGATGGGATGGGAAGAGGGGAGTGTGTTGATGGTCTTAGTGTTTAGAAGGGGAGTCCCCTTCCATTAGGACTTGAGGTGGCAAGTCCTTTTTCGGGGTTACTTCCCTTCTTCTTTTAATGCCACTAGGACCAGCTTGAGAGTCACTGGACCTCTGTCGCACAACATATCTGCCCATAGAGGCCTGTACCTCCCGTTCCTTTATGACATTCCTAAAGTGTTTCACAACATTGTCAGTGTCACCATTAAACACTTGTTCAGGTTTCAGTCCTTCACTGTCTATGTACTCCTTGAATTCCTGCACATATTTTTCAGCTGCTTTTTGGTCCAAACTGGCAGCCTCACCATGCCTTATCACACTATGTATGCCACTACGATTCTTAAATCTCTCAAACCAACCTTTGCTGGCCTTAAATTCACTCACATCACCACTAGTTGCTGGCATTTTTCTAATTAAATCGTCATGCAACTTCCTAGCCTTTTCACATATGATCGCTTGAGAGATGCTATCTCCTGCTATCTGTTTTTCGTTTATCCATACCAATAACAGTCTCTCAACATCTTCTACCACTTGCGATCTCAGTTTCGAAAACATAGTTGCACCTTTGGCAAGAACAGCTTCCTTGATTGCCGTTTTCTTGGCCACAATAGTAGCGATGGTTGATTGGGGTTTTGTGTACAGCCTGGCCAGCTCGGAGACATGCACTCCACTTTCATACTAAGTAATGATCTCTTTCTTCATATCCATAGTAATTCTCACCCTTTTTGCTGTAGGGTTGGCACTAGAAGCTTTCTTGGGGCCCATGGTGACTTATTTTGCAGGTGCAATCACTAAAAAGACTGTGATAATATGAAGTGTTCCGATTGTATGCTTGGAAGCTACCGCGGTGGCTGGCTGGCTTGTAAACACTGGCCAGAAGTGGACGCGTCTCAGACGGAAGGAATAGTGTTGGTCGAGTTTTTTAGCGCTAATCGAGGCAAAATTTTTGCAATAAAATGTATCGCTAGTCAGATTTATCGTTAATCGATGCCATCGCTGGTCGAGGGTCCACTGTATTAATTTTAATACACACAAACTGAAGAAGACATGCACAGTTAATACTCTACTAAGAACAGAATGCATGACACTTACCTTTATTGAAGATCTGGTGATGATTGATGAGATGGGAGGAGAGGAGAGTGTGGAAGTTATTGTTTAGAAGGGGAATCCCCTTCCATTAGGACTTGAGGTATCAATTCCTTTTCTGGGGTTACTTCCCTTCTTCTTTTAATGCCACTAGGACCAGCTTGAGAGTCACTGGACCTCTGTCGCACAACATATCTGTTCATAGAGCTCTGTACCTCTCGTTCCTTTATGATTTGTCTAAAGTGGTTCACAACACTGTCATTGTAAAAGTCACCAGCATGGTTTGCAAAAGCTGTGTGAGGGTGATTTTCATCCATAAAGGTTTGCACTTTAAGCCACTTTGCACACATTTCTTTAATATCTTTTTTCAATTCCATACTAATTCTCACCCTTTTTACCACAGGATGCCACTAGAAGCTTTCTTGGGGTCCATGGTGACTTATTTTGCAGTTACAAGCACTAAAAACACTGGGATAATGTAAAATGTACTGAATGTATGCGTAGATGCGACTGCACTGGCTGGCTTGTAAACACTGGCGCTGAGGCCGCACATGGGATGCGTTTTGGACGAGTCACGTAAGGCGAGTTTTTTAGCGTGAGGCGAAGCAAAATTTTTGTGTTAAAATGTATCGTATTGCAGATTTAACGTAACGCGATGCCATCGTGAGGCGCGGGTCCACTGTATAAGATGGTTCATAACTACCTTAATTACTGAAGTGATTGCATATGAAAGTTATTGGCAGTATCCACTCTACGTACATTTATCATTGTTACGGTTGCTTATATTTTTTCATGTGCATAGATAGACAAAAAAGAGAAACAGCAGTTGCAGACTTGAACTACAGAGATAAAAAGATGTAAGACAGCTTGTAGTATAGCAGGAAGATAAGATTTTTAGAGAAGCAACACAAGTCATGCACTCACCAGAATCAGTCCTACTACATCCACAAATGCTATAATTACCTGCCATACTAATTTGAACAAGACTAATTGGAACAAGAGTACAGTACTTATATAAACCACCACATAGTCATTTTTTTATGGAAGCAGGGTTTGAGCATCCTAGTAACTACTAAAAATCCAACATTATTTATGACGTAAATAACTGGGAGTCCTATTCATGCACAACTTTGCCATGACTTATCACCTGTGTTGGGAATTGGATTTGAACTGCAGTACACAGACTTTGTCATTGCCACTAGTGGTGGTACCACCGATGATGCTACTGCTGCCATCCCTGACTTCATTGTTGATGTCTCAACAGTGTAAATTGTAGTTTTTATGTGTTGGCAGGAGATATCAATTGTGCCTGACAGGATTGAGGGTGATAAGTACTTTATGGAGTGATGCATTAGGAATACAACATGCTGAAGTGAAGTTCAGTATATTGTAAACAACTTTTGGGGCTTGGATAAATGTATTATTCAAGATAACTAGTTAACTGTTTTCTTACTATTTTATACAGAAATAGAAGATTTACCTGTAAGCGTTCAGGAACAACTTTTTGAGGAGCTCTTAGACCGAGATGCTCAGAAACAGCTAGAGGAGGATGCTCCTATCATTAACTGGTCACTGGAGATCACTGACAGACTTGGATCAAGGTTGTATGCACTCTGGAACCGTACAGCAGGTGAGAACGATGAACCCGTAACATTCTTAGCTCACAGAATTTAATTTGATTGTGAAGAAGCTGGATGTCCTGGCTTTAAGTGAAACCAAGCTGAAGGGGGTGGGATAAGTAAATGGGATTAGGTCAGGGGTTTCAAATAAGAGTTAGAGCTACAGGAGTAGCAATAATGTTGAAGGATAAGCTATGGCAGAAAAAGAGGGAATATAAATGTATTAATTCAAGGATTATGTGGAGTAAAATAAAGGTTGGATGTGAAAAGTGGGTTATAGTAAGTATTTATGCACCTGGAGAAGAGAGAAGTGTAGAGGAGAGAGAGAGAGAGATTTTGGGAAATGTTGAGTGAATGTATGGGGAGTTTTGAACCAAGTGTGAGAGTAATGGTGGTTGGGGATTTCAATGCTAAAGTGGGCAAAAATGTTTTGGAGGGAGTAGTAGGTAAATTTGGGGTGCCATGGGTAAATGAAAATGGGGAGCCTTTAATTGAGCTATGTGTAGAAAGAGGTTTGGTAATAAGTAATACTACATATTTTATGAAGAAGAGGATAAATAAATATACAAGGTATGATATAGGGGTCGTCCTCGAAAGGGTTGGAGAGAGGGGGTAAAGGAGGTTTTGTGGGCAAGGGGCTTGGACTTCCAGCAAGCGTGCGTGAGTGTGTTAGATAGGAGTGAATGGAGACGAATGGTACTTGGGACCTGACGATCTGTTGGAGTGTGAGCAGGGTAATATTTAGTGAAGGGATTCAGGGAAACCGGTTATTTTCATATAGTCGGACTTGAGTCCTGGAAATGGGAAGTACAATGCCTGCACTTTAAAGGAGGGGTTTGGGATATTGGCAGTTTGGAGGGATATGTTGTGTATCTTTATATGTGTATGCTTCTAAACTGTTGTATTCTGAGCACCTCTGCAAAAACAGTGATAATGTGCGAGTGTGGTGAAAGTGTTGAATGATGATGAAAGTATTTTCTTTTGGGGGATTTTCTTTCTTTTTTTTTTTTTTGGGTCACCCTGCCTCGGTGGAAGACGGCCGACTTGTTGAAAAAAAAAAATTATATAGCACGTAATGAAAATAGTTTGTTAGATTATATATTGGTGGATAAAAGGTTGATGGGTAGGCTCCAGGATGTACACGTTTATAAAGGGGCAACTGATATATTGGATCATTATTTAGTTGTAGCTACAGTTAGAGTAAGAGATAGATGGGAAAAGAGGAAAATGGCAACAACAAGTAAGAGGGAGGTGAAAGTGTATAAACTGAGGGAGGAGGAAGTTCGGTTGAGATATAAGCAACTATTGGCAGAAAGGTGGACTGGTGCAAATATGAGTAGTGGGGGGGTTGAGGAGGGTTGGAATAGTTTTAAAAAAGCAGTATTAGAATGTGGGGCAGAAGTTTGTGGTTATAGGAGGGTGGGTGCAGGAGGAAAGAGGAATGATTGGTGGAATGATGAAGTGAAGGGTGTGATAAAAGAGAAAAAGTTAGCTTGTGAGAGGTTTTTACAAAGCAGAAGTGTTATAAGAAGAGTAGAGTATATGGAGAGTAAAAGAAAGGTGAAGAGAGTGGTGAGAGAGTGCAAAAGGAGAGCAGATGATAGAGTGGGAGAGGCACTGACAAGAAATTTTAATGAAAATAAGAAAAAAATTTGGAGTGAGTTAAACAAGTTAAGAAAGCCTAGGGATCAAATGGATTTGTCAGTTAAAAACAGAGTAGGGGAGTTAGTAGATGGGGAGATGGAGGTAGTGGGTAGATGGTGGGAATATTTTGAGGAACTTTTAAATGTCGACGAAGAAAGGGAGACGGTAATTTCATGCACTAACCAGGGAGGTATACCATCTTATAGGAGTGAAAAAGAGCAGGATGTGAGTGTGAGGGAGGTGCGTGAGGCATTATGTAGAATGTGATGAATGGTTTAGAAAACCGACAAGTTGAATTGAGACACTTATGCAACACATGGGAATCTTTATTGAAGAAATGTTTCGCCACACAGTGGCTTCATCAGTCCAATATAAAGTAGAAATGGGTAAGGAGAGGAGAAGTTCGAGGTAATCAGTCCCTCAACCTGGAATCGATGTGTTCAGTCCATCACTCTTGTAGGAAATGCAGCATAGGGCCAGAGAGGTGGCTTATATACTGCAGTGAGATGAGGTGAAGCAGGAGGAGGTGGGATCACAGTGGGACCTGCCACTAGTGTAAGTAGGTCGTCGTGTGGTGAAACGTTTCTTCAATAAAGATTCCCATGTGTTGCATAAGTGTCTCAATTCTTCAATTATGTAGAAAGAAAGGGAGTAAAGCAGCTGGAACTGACGGGATCATGACAGAAATGTTAAAAGCAGGGGGGATATAGTGTTGGAGAGGTTGATATTTTTGTTTAATAAATGTATGAAAGGAGCAGGGGCTGGTAACCTTCTCTGTATATACTAGAATGTAAAAGGAGAGAACTGTTTCCCTTTTTGGCACCCCGCGGTGGGTCGGCTGAGTTTGTAAAAAGAAAGGAAAGTTATGAAGGGGAAGGTACCTAGGATTGGCAAGAGCATGTATGTCCTTTAATAAAGGGAAGGGACAAAAGAGTTGTAAAAATTTAGAGATAAGTTTTCTGAGTATAGAAAGGTAGTAGGGTTTATTGAAAGATTAGGTAGACAGATGTAGGATGCAGTAGAGAAGGAGGTTTTAGAGTGTAGATAATCAAGTGTTTACATTGAAGCATATATGTGAAACAGTATTTAGATAAAAGTACGAAGTTTTCATTGCATTATGGATTTAGAAAAGGCATATGATAGGGTGGATAGGGGAGCAATGTGACAGATGTTACAAGTATATGGATAGATAGTAAGTTACTAAATTCTGTAAAGAGTTTTTATGAGGTAGTAAGGTCAGGTTAGGGTGTGTAGAAGAGAGGGGGACTACTTTGCACAGTAAAAGTAGGTCTTAGACAGGGATGTTGTTAATGTCACCATGGTTGTTTAATATATTTATAGATGGGGTTGTAAAAGAAGTAAATGCTAGGTGTCGGGAGAGGGGTGGGATTAAATTATGGGAATCAAATACAAATGGGAATTGACACAGTGTTTTTTTGCTGATGATACTGTGCTTATGGGAGATTCTAAAGAAAAATTGCAAAGGTTAGTGGATGAGTTTGGGAGTGTGTGTAAAGGTAGAAAGTTGAAAGTGAACATAGAAAAGAGTAAGGTGATGAGGGTATCAAATGATTTAGACAGAGAAAAATTGGATATCAAATTGGGGAGGAGGAGTATGGCAGAAGTGAATGTTTTCAGATACTTGGGAGTTGACGTGTCAGCGGATGGATTTATGAAGGATGAGGTTAATCATAGAATTGATGGGGGAAAAAAGGTCAGTGGTGCGTTGAGGTATATGTGGAGACAAAAAACGTTATCTATGGAGGCAAATAAGGGAATGTATGAAAGTATACTAGTACCAACACTCTTATGTGGGTGTGAAGCCTGAGTTGTGAATGCTGCAGCGAGGAGGCGGTTGGAAGCAGTGGAGATGTCCTGTCTAAGGTCAATGTGTGGTGTAAATACCATGCAGAAAATTCAGAGTGTGGAAATTAGGTGGTGTGGAGTTAATAAAAGTATTAGTCAGAGGGCTGAAGAGGGGTTGTTGAGGTGGTTTGGTCATTTAGAGAGAATGGATCAGAGTAGAATGACATGGAGAGCATTTAAATCTGTAGGGGAAGGAAGGCGGGGTAGGGGTCATCCTCAAAAAGGTTGGAAGAAAGGGGTAAGGGAGGTTTTGTGGGTGAGGGGCTTGGACTTCCAGCAGGCGTGCGTAAGCGTGTTCGATAGGAGTGAATAGAGACGAATGGTACATGTATTTGGGACCTGACGATCTGTTGGAGTGTGAGCAGGGTAATATTAAGTGAAGGGATTCAGGGAAACCGGTTGTTTTTATATAGCCGGACTTGAGTCCTAGAAATGGGAAGTACAATGCCTGCACTCTAAAGGAGGGGTTTGATATTTTGGCAGTTTGGAGGGATATGTTGTGTATCTTTATACATATATGCTTCTAAGCTGTTGTGTTCTGAACACCTCTGCAAAAATAGTGATTATGTGTGAGTGAGGTGAAAGAGTTGAAGGATGAAAGTATTTTCTTTTTGGGGATTTTCTTTCTTTTTGGGTCACCCTGCCTCGGTGGGAGACAGCCGACTTATTAAAAAAAAAAAAATAGGAAGCATTAGTCTCTGTTATGCCAAAAAAATCCAGCTTTAGAATGCTCACTTAAAAAGTTCTGAAATTTGGAGATTATTCTGAATTAAAGGTCAGATTTTAGAAGCTCCATCTTGTTTAACTAATTTCTAAGTTTGGAGATCATTCCTAATTCTAACCATTATCTTCCAAGTTTGGGAGAATTCCCAATAAGTAATTATTGAATTCTCCTTTTTTGACACCATATGTATTAATTAGAAAGATTATTAGTATTAGTGGGTATTATACATCATATTCTGTCTAATTTATCATTTAGCTTCACTTATGACAGTATAACCATACATGTTATCCTCACACTACCATCACCACTTAGTGTGACAATATAACCATACATGTTATCCTCATGACTCACAAAATCATAATTACATGATTGTTAACAAACCATACCATGGTCTGGAGTTTTATGGCTCTCTAATCGCAGGTTCTAACCCCGCCTGTGGTATGGTATGTTATCCATACACTACCATCACCACTTAGTGTGACAGTATATCCATACATGTTTTCCACACACTATCATCACCACTTAGACTAGCAGTATAACCATACATGATGCCCTTGCACTACCACCACCACCATTTAATGTAGTATATTGCCATGCATGTTACCCCCTCACACTGCCACCACCAGCACTTAGTGTGGCAGTATAATCATGCATGTGGTCCTTATACAGTGGACCCCCGCATAACGATCACCTCCAAATGCGACCAATTATGTAAGTGTATTTATGTAAGTGCGTTTGTACATGTATGTTTGGGAGTCTGAAATGGACTAATCTAAT